AGCCACATTGCACATTATACACCATCACAACCTACAAAGATGCAGACAACGAGTAATCTTTGGAAGCATTTAAAGACACAACATCCAGCAATACATGCACAATATAAGAAAAAGCATGTTCAAGATGGAGATACACAGCCTTCTTCTTCAACTACAGCTACATTCTTCCAGCCTCGCAAAGTACCTAGCCATGCACCAAATTCGTCAAAATTTAGAGAGCTTCTACTCTCTTTTATTGTGTCTAATAACCTACCATTGCGTACATCTGAGAGTCTATCCTTCCAGCAGCTTGTTAGCCATTTAAATCCAACAACACTTGTAATTGGACGGACGACAATTGCAAGAGACTTGCAACGGATATTTTGCATTCATAAAGCAAGGTTACAACTTGAATTACAGCAGCATACTGCACAAGGTGGACGGATATCTTTAACAACTGATACTTGGTCTGCACGCAACTATTCTGAATACGCTGCCGTAACAACACATTGGATCTCTGATAAGTGGCAGTTACGATGTACAGTCTTAGATGTTATTGAGCTACAAGAGCCAATCCATTCTGGTGAATATCTTGCAGGGCAGTTAATAGCTGTTACAGACGACTATGGTATTACTCCTGCAGTTTTTACTATCACTCGTGATAACGCTTCTGCAAACACTACCATGCTCTCAGAATATGAGAACTTAGCATGCAAGAACGAAACTACATTACAGCAACCATGGGCATATACAACAAAAGAAGGCGATGTCAGATGTATTGGGCACATTATAAACCTTGCTGTTCAAGCTGCTTTAACATCGTTAAAGGCAGTACCAGCAGATGAGCCAAACGCATACCGCCTTGAGTATGGAGCTGCCTGAGTTCCGGCATCATATATATGTGTTTCGCAACTGACGACAATGGAAGGATGCCTTAAAAAAGCAATGTGAAGCTGCAAATATTGAGTTTAAGCAGCTTAGCCTCGATATGCCAGTACGATGGAGCTCAACATATTATATGCTTCATTTAGCGTTAAGATTACAAGGTCCAATAACAGCTCTCTGTGCATCTCAACAGCTTGATTTAAGTATGAAAGATATAGCTTTAACAGCAAAAAATTGGCAGACGATGAAGGCATTATTAGATTTTTTCTATATCTTTATACGCCCAACAGAGAAGCTACAAGGCTCTTCTTATCCTACTTTAAATTATGCTGTTATACAGTATATGAGAATGACGCAAAAGCTTGAAAGTCTTTAAAGCTGGATATACAGAGAATAGCACAATATACGATGCTTGTTTAGCAGCATTAAAAAAGCTTATGAGTATTATACACTTGCAACAAATCAACAGCGGAGTCATTCAACTATAGCTACAATATGCGACCCACGTTATAACTTTAACGTATTTGATATTATTTGGCCAAAAAGCATTCAAGACACGTGAAAAAGGTGGGCAAAAGCACAATGGCAAGACTGTTATTATAAATATTCAGGCAAGGCATTAGACATCCAAGCAGCAAAGGTTATGGAAAGTATCCAAGATGAGGAATTAGAAGATGAGAATTCTAAGAAGACAGAGTCTGATTCTGAGGATGAGCTATATGTCTCACAACGGCAGCCAGATTTAGATCCAGAATGGAAGCGCTGGATGAACGAGCCAACTCTTGGGCCTAAAATTGATATACTCAAGTTTTGGGCAAGTAAGCAATACCAATATCCAATACTTGCCGCAATTGCCAAAGATCATTTAGCAATTCCTGCTATATCAGCGGAATCTGAGCGAGTGTTTAGTGTTGGTGGCGATATTATTACAAAGAAACGGAACAGATTAGCACCATCTACACTACGATATCTTATATGTCTTAAGAATTGGGGCGTGGTATCAGCAGGTGAGGATTCAGAGGAAGATGAGGATGCATAGTTACTGTATTTCCATAGTCTATATAGCTATCAATCATGTTTTCATTTTTATACTCGAGTAGTACTCGTAGTACTCGAGTACTACTCGAGTACTACTCTACTCGAGCCCAAAAAACAGTACTCTACTCGAAGATCTCTGAGTAGTACTCTGAGTAGTACTCGGGCAACACTGCGATTACACGAAATTCACTTGTCCCTTACAAAATTCATATAAACTAGCCGAGTGAGAAAGATCTATAACAGCAGTCATATGTTTCTCTACATTATTATGTTTTAATGTAATTATATTTACCTGTGCTACTTTGACAGACACAGAATTATATCTACAACTAATCAACTATTATCACCTCATTAAACTCGAATTTATCTCCCCTAGAAGGTAATAATAATACAGCCAGCGAGGCCAGAACAGATTAAATGACATACTGCAACAAGTTAGAATCAGAACAGCGTTGGGGGACAAAGTGAACACTGCTTACCGGAATGAAAAGATATGGAACGAGTTTCTCATACTCCAGCCACGCGTCCCCATACTTTGCTCTACACTTCTGAATATCTCTCAACGCTCGGTGTGAAATCATGCCTGCGAAGAAGACCGGGTAAAACCACGGGAATGGGCTGCTGAAGCCAGTGATCAAGCCCCACGATAGAGCAAAGAACAAGTCGCAGGTGTAGTGAATCTTGCGAGCCTTGCCATACCAGCCGTCAACCAGGATCCTGTGGCCATCTTTTGTCCTGATCACCCTTGGGTTCTTGATAGCCTGCCATGGAAGCTGTGGGAATGCCTTACGGATGACCTGTTTTCCGGTCTCCTCGGCACGGAAACGGTTCTTTTGGCTGTTGGTCGTATCCCAAACCCAGTAGACGAAGAGGTATGTGACGAACAGGGCACCAAGGGCATATGGGTTCCAGCGGTAGGTGTCAGGGTGATGGTTTGCAAGGTACAGGATGCAGTGACAGTAAGTCATGGGCACGCCCGCCAAGTTCCAAAAGATAAGCATGAAGCCCCACTTCTCAAAGTACATATCCCAAGTGCTGATGATCAGCTCCTCGCCCTTGGAACATGCATTCGCGTACAGGTAGTGGGCCATGATAAGGAACCACACCTCGCCGGAGACATAGCCGTAGTTCTCGTACTGCCTTGCGGCCGTAGCAGATGACAGGAGGAGTAGGAAGTACCATGGGATCCTGACCTCGAAGAACATCTTGAAATCGAGAATCCCAAACATTCTGGGGTTAAGCTCAGCACCCATGAAAAAGTCGTAGAGGGGGTAGCCCGTCATTCTGTGCTGGGCGCCGCGGAGCAGTGCCGAGACATAGGCAACAATCGAGACGAGAAATCCGGTCAAGATTCCCACCGACATGAGCGGTCCGAACTCGTCAAGGATAGTGTAAAGTGGGAAGATGCCAGAGAAGTGGAGGCCAGCCATAACAATGGCCGTGGTGTAGAGCGAAGCCACTGCCGAGCAGTAATATTTCAACTGCTTTCCGCCAGCGTGAGGTAGAGGCTTGCCGTAACCGTAAACACCTGGAAGCAAGCAGTAGCAAGCCCCCTCTGCGACGAAGAATACCCAGTACATGGTCCAGGCCTTCAGCGACGGAAACGCGCCTTCGTACACCAGATTGCCCATGTGCTTGGCGAAATCGACAAAGCTCTCGTCAGGCTCAGGTGTGGGAAACTTTCCATCGTAATATGTTGCCCCAATCCACATGTAGTACATCAGGGTCGGGAATCCAATCATCATGGTAGTGACGCCAACTGAACCCCCGAATTCCATATGGCCGCTGTAGTCTATCTTAGGGTCCAACCCTGGTTGCCACCCTTCAACTGCCATAATCTTTTCCGACGCGTCGGAGCCATTCGTCGCAGAGCCATCCGTAGCCTTAGCACGACGGTTCGTGACCTGCCCATTGCCATTGGCGTTGCCATTGCCATTGGGCACGGCGGGCGACACCTCTCCAGAATACGATCGCGCCATGCTGCTCCCACGCGTTGTTCGTCGTGGCTCGAGGCTATCGCGTTTTATGCTTTCGGTGGCAGGCGCAGGGTCTTCGCCTTCGTCCTCGGGGAATTGTGATTTGCGGCGATTGGATCTACGCGCAGCAGGAGTCTCTACGAAGTCCGGGTGGCTCGTCTTTCTGCTAGGTGGTCAGTAAGTGTCAATGGAATTGTGAACCCTCGCAGAGGACTTACTTTGGCGTAGCCCGTAGTGAATAACGTCCAGACGACATCTCTGCAGGAGTGATGAAGCTTCTTAAGTAAAGCCACGAGTCGCCAAAACAGCCTCAAGGAGGGGGGTTCTTGACATGTATAAAAAAGTAGGGGAAGTGGACACGACTTGTGCAGTCCGCTTGTACAGGGACAAGCGCGTAAACAATGGATCCGAGCCAAGAGTCGACAATTTAATTGGCAGGTTTGCTTCGTTTACACCCACAGCCAAGATTGTGACAAGGAATTTGTCCACAGCATACATACAGTATATCGAAGGCTATGGGTTATGTAGCCAGACAGTTTGTTTTCCTATTTGGATATATTTGCAGCAAATCCATAGTGGAGGATGGGGCCGTGGGGGATAAGTTCGCTTTTAAGAATACGAAAACGAAAACGACGGCAGGAACAAGATGCAGTTTTTGCGGTTCGTGTAGAGTAGCACCGATACATATTACATATTCATATTCATATTCACAGTGGCTTGCAACCTGTAACACCTGGGACAATGTGTATTGAAGGATTATAGATCAAATTCTAGCCCATTATGGAGACCAATTCCGTCACCTTGTGGATGCGAACTACTATATTTTGCACCAGAGAACCCCGCGACCGAATCCCTCGAGCTGACGAGAGCTGTGTAGGCCCAACTTTTTGTTCGTTTCGGCTGCAACTTTCTCGTAGTGGGCGTTATGCATAGGTTCTCGGCGGTAACAGTCCCGTCGCTCTGTAGTCTTTCGGATGGTTTGATGCCTCAGTTTGTCAGGGCCTTGTGTTTTCCCATCACCAGTCTTCTTAACCGCTCTCTTGGGGCTCATCTGTGGTACCATGCTGACGGTGATTGGGATATGGCGCATAGATATGGCGGACACCAAATCCGAAAAGCCGCTCAGCCAAACTTCTTCGACCCTCCCTTGGGCACATCTGCCTTCATGTCCTTGTTCTTCTTCCCACCCTTCAAGAGCTCCAAATGTCCAGCCTTTGAGCCCAAAGTTCTTTCAGTCATGGCCGTGAGACCACCCGAGTGTTTCTACGTCTGTTAGTTTATGCAAACCACCGTAGAGATATCACGTCGCATACCTTGATCATTCTTGCATTCTTGACGAGGTCTTTCCGCTTGGGCGCAATAGTGCGTTTACCCTTCTTTGCGTCGACGCCTGGCTTTTTGCCCTTTGCCGAACCCAGCTTCGACTTGATTTCTCCTTGAGCCATCGTTCGTCCACTAGCAATAGTGAATTCTCTCCAAAGTAGTCGTCGTGGTGAGGAGTGCGCAGTTGTGCGGACTCATATCGCTCCCACCTCGAAAAACAGCGCCAAAATTTAGAAATGTTTCTTCCCCACTAAAACGCTAAAATGCAGGCTAGGCCAGTGGCCAAGTGAATTGCACGTGATCCCATTCAATTTCACGCCCCAACGCGGCTTAGCGCATCACGTCGTCGCGAAACCACTTTACAACTGCCTCATCTCACCACCGCGCGACTTTCTTCAACCAATCTTCAACTTCTTCCTCTGCCACTGCTGAAGCTCGACATCATCATGGCAGAGATCAAGATTGACAGCCAGCTGTTCCAGGAGCGACTCGGCCACTTCGTCTCATCATGGAAGGCCGACAAGCGTTCTGGCGACATTGTATTCGGCGGTGCTTCGAGTGTACTCATCCTCATGGGCAAGACTGAGGAGAGCGCACAGTTTCAGAAAAACAACGCCATTCATGTACGCGATCAGAATACGGCTGTTGGACAAGAAATTCGCTGACCTATCTAGTTCTGGCTTTTGGGATATGAGTTCCCAGCAACTCTGTTCCTTTTCACTCTTGATACCCTCTACGTTGTTACCACGGCAAAGAAAGGTGAGCTTCCAATTCCTACATTTACCTTGAGGTCATCCAAACTGACATGTACCAGCCAAACATTTGGAGCCTTTGAAAGGCGGCAAGATCCCCCTGGAGGTCCTCGTGCGAGGCAAGGATGCCGACCAAAACGAGAAGCTTTTCCAGAAGATCACAGATGTGATCAAATCTGCTGGTGTAAGTTCAAACCGACACTGTGGCACATCTACAGCAGCTGACGATCCGACCACAGAAAAAAGTCGGCGTTCTTTCCAAGGACACCTCCAACGGACCCTTTATCGATGAATGGAAAAGGGTCTACGGTGATATTTCGAAGGATGTGGAGGAGGTGGATGTGGCGCCTGCAATTTCCGCAGCTGCCCTTGCAGTCAAAGACGAGAACGAGCTACGCGCCATGAGAAACGCTTCCAAAGCATGCATTGCTTTGATGAACCCATACTTTGTCGAAGAGATGTCGAATATCCTGGACGAAGACAAGAAGGTGAAGCACAGCACCTTGGCGACGAAGATTGATAACAAGATTGACGATACGAAGTTCTGGACCACCGTCCAATTGCCCAACAACCAGAAGATGCCAACGGACTTCGAGCCAGGACAACTTGATTGGACACATGGGCCGATCATCCAGAGCGGCGGGAAATTCGACCTGAAAATGTCAGCGCAGACCGATGACGAGAATCTACACGCCGGCGTCATTCTTGCCACTGTGGGGCTTCGATACAAGACATACTGCTCCATGATTGCACGTACCTACCTTGTGGACCCAAATAAGTCCCAGGAGAGCAACTACAAGTTGCTCCTTGCCGTTCATGCATTGGTTCTCAAGGAAACTCGCGATGGCGCAGTGGTCAAGGAGATTTATAGCAAGGCAATGTCGTTAGTCAGGGCGAAGAAACCGGAGCTGGAGAAGAACTTCCTCAGGAACGTGGGTGCAGGTATTGGTATCGAGACGAAGGACTCGACGTTGCTTCTTAACGGGAAGAGCACCCGGACGCTGAAAGATGGTATGACACTCTGCGTGACCACTGGCTTCAACGACATCGAAAACCCCTCTCCGCAGGACAAGAAGAGCAAGGTTTACTCTTTAGTTCTCTCGGACACCGTCCGCGTGGCAGCGTCGGACGCAGTCGTTTTCACTGGCGATGCTCCGTCAGATCTAGACGCCACTTCATTCTTCTTCAAAGACGACGAGGAAGCAGAGCCGGCACCAAAACCCAAGGAGAAGAAAGACTCCAAGGTTGGCGCTGTGGCAACCACAAACATTGTCAAGAGCAAACTTCGCGCAGAGCGAACAACACAGGCAGATGAGGGCGCCGAGGCTCGAAGACGTGAGCATCAAAAAGAGCTGGCGCAAAAGAAGCAAGAAGAAGGCCTTGCGAGATATGCCGAGGCGACTGACAGCAAGAACGGCGTTGCTGTGAAGAAGTTCAAGCGCTTTGAATCATACAAGCGCGACAACCAGTTCCCGCCAAAGGTTCGCGACCTCGCAATAGTCATGGATCAGAAGAACTCAACCGTCGTTCTCCCCATTATGGGAAGACCTGTGCCCTTCCACATCCAGACGATCAAGAACGCTAGCAAAAGTGACGAGGGAGACTTCTCATACCTCCGAGTGAACTTCCTTTCGCCTGGCCAAGGTGTTGGTAGGAAGGATGATCAACCGTTTGAGGATGCCTCAGCGCATTTTGTTCGCAGTCTCACGTTTCGCTCGCACGATGGAGATCGCCTACAAGATATTGCCAATCAAATTGGCAACATGAAGCGAGACGCAGCAAAGCGTGAACAGGAGAAGAAAGAGATGGAGGATGTAGTGGAGCAGGATAAACTCGTTGAGATCAGGAGTACGTCAAATCGGTGCCAATCCAGCGAGCCATTGCTAACATGGAATAGATCGCCGACCAAATGTCATGGACAACGTGTTCATCCGTCCAGTAATGGACGGAAAGCGCGTGCCAGGAAAGGTTGAGATCCATCAAAACGGTCTCCGTTACCAGTCGCCACTCAACCCTGCCCATCGTGTGGATATCCTTTTTAGCAACGTCAAGCATCTCTTTTTCCAGCCTTGCCAGCATGAACTAATCGTGATCATTCATGTTCATCTCAAGGACCCCATTCTCATTGGGAAGAAGAAGACCAAGGATGTTCAATTCTACCGTGAAGCTACAGATATTCAATTCGATGAGACTGGAAACAGAAAGCGCAAGTACAGGTATGGCGATGAGGAGGAATTTGAGGCTGAGCAAGAGGAACGCCGCCGCCGTGCTGAGCTTGATCGCCAGTTCCAGCTTTTCGCTCAGAAGATCGCCGATGCCGGGAAGAGTGAGAATGTCGACGTTGATATCCCCTTCCGTGAGCTTGGATTCAACGGTGTGCCATACAGGTCCAACGTTTTCTGCCAGCCGTCTACCGACTGTTTGGTGCAGCTCACTGAGCCACCCTTCATGGTCATTACTCTGGATGATATCGAGATTGCGCATCTCGAACGTGTCCAATTCGGCCTAAAGAACTTCGACATGGTGTTTGTGTTCAAGGATTTCCACCGGGCTCCAGCACACATCAACACAATCCCAGTCGAGTCACTCGAAAACGTCAAAGAGTGGCTCGATTCAGTCAACATCCCCTTCAGCGATGGCCCTCTCAACCTGAACTGGCCTACGATCATGAAGACCGTGACGGCAGACCCCCATGCCTTCTTTGCGGACGGCGGATGGTCCTTCCTCGCTACTGAATCGGACCAAGAAGATGCGGATGACGAATCTGAAGAGTCTGCGTTTGAGATGTCTGACTCAGAACTTGCGGCCAGCGAGGAGAGCTCGGAGGACGACAGCGACTTTGATGAAGAGGCTAGTGCAGAGGCGTCTGAAGATGGCAGCGAAGCAAGTGATGAGGAAGAGGGCGATGACTGGGACGAGCTGGAAGCGAAGGCCAAGAGGAAGGATAGAGAAGGCGGGCACAGCGAGGATGATGCGCCAAAGAAGAAGAGGAAGCATTGAGCACGGGCGATGGACCAAAGAGACTCTGTTTACTCTTGACTCCAAATTGGCGGATATCTATCTGGACTACGGGGTGATCGGCGGAGAAAGGCGTTTGACACACATAGCGGCGCATGCAATTTGTAAGATAGAATAATAACGGGCGAAAATCGATCAGCTACTACGTGGTCTTGCGCATCTATAAATTCTCATCGACTGAATAACTATTTTTAACAACTAGGAAGTAACCTCATCTCCCCAACACGTATGGTGTCGAAACCCAAAACCCAGAAACAGACCAACCGCGCCGAACGATGAGGAAAAGGATGAATCATGATCATAATGTACAATTGGCACTAACCCACCGCTCAAGCCCCTTCACGCCCGCCCTCACGGCCTGTCGTCGTCGCAGTGCTGGGCTGGTCGTTGTTCCACGAGAGGTATGTGTGGTCGCCGAGTTTTCTATTTGCAATTAATATCTGGAACTGCGTGGGGGGATAATGCGAATGTACGGTACCTTGGCTTAATGAGATGAGTGACCGTGAAGATGGCACCCAGGAGGATGCACAGTCCGCCAACGACGACAAAGGCAATGCCAAGGTAGGGGTTACGGCCTCCGATAACCGTGCGCGTGGAGATAATGATCGATTTGGTGCCGCCATATATATTAGCTGGGAAGAAATGGTTGATATCCACCTGGTATGTTCCGGTAATCATAACGTCATCGTCATTTCTCTGGGCCAGCTTGCTGAATGTCGGGAGACCCGCCGTGCGCATCCACACCTGGAATGCCTGATCGTTCTCCAGGTCTGGTGGGGGATGTGCCTCAGTATAGTCCGAGCTGTTTCCCCATCTCATCACCCAGTTCGGTGGGACCGCGATTTGGTCTAGCTTGTATTTTGTCTTCCCATATAGCTTCTTGTCACTGTCCCAAGCAATTCCACTATTGTTCTTCATCTGGTACACTTTAGACTCGCCGTTTCCGCCTTGTACATTCTGGAGAAGAGGTGAGGTATATGTATCGTTGAACATGGAGTTGGCAATCAGCCCGCAGGGGTAGTAAGGGCGACCGCGTAGGTCGAGGCGCAGGGGGTCGCAGAGCGACGATTCGATGGTGGCGCTGTCAACGGCGTCCCCACGCAACTGATCCGCCTGGAAGGACTTGACGTAACGGCGATGGTTTTGGTAGAAGTCTGTGAGACGGTAGTAAAAGAGGACCGGAGGATTCATCGGCGCTGGAATATCAAAAACGAGAGAGCACTGCGTGACATTGTCCAGTACCACTCCATTCGGAAAGGTGTAAGAGATTGTTTGCTTAGCCCAAAGCGCTTTCGGGGCCGTGTTCACCATGTCGTGGAAATGCCAGGTCGCCAGCCCCTTGGGCATTTCTTCATTTATCTTCGTTGTGTTTGGCGCCTGGTCGAAGCAGTTTGTGTAGTCAAGGCTGATCTCCTGGACCTATATTGTATCTTGTCAGTTTATCTTGCGACAGGAAACCCTTTGAAAGATTTCGACTGCATACCTGTGCGCTGGCGTACAACAACGCCCCCCCGATGGGTGCGAAGATTATGCCAATGGCAAAGAAGAGAGGTAGTACGGTTTTCGGTGTGAGAATTGGCCTGTGGTCTCGTATCAGCTCGAGGGGTCGTCGAGGCGAATAAGGGTCTTCGACTTACTGCCATGCCTTCAGTCGTTGTTGTCTGAACGCCGTATCTGTTGTCCTGGGTCAGCGCAGTCCTACATCTTCGATTATTTCATCGCCGGGGGGTCCGTAGACGCACTTGCTGGTCTCCTGTTCTTTATCTTCTTGGTCTTCTTGTTATGGGGGTCTTGGGAGGAGATGGAGTCGTCATGATCTAATTCTGGTCCTGTGTCCGCCATGGTATCGATGAGATGTGCGGCCGGCACTGCGCGATCGATATCAATGTAGGGCGAATGCGAATTCGAACTGATAATGGACTATGTTCGAAGATTGTTGCTTTATTCCCTTGCATCCGGAGCGCGACGTTGACGGCATCCGTTAATTCCAGGCTTAGCGTGGTTTCTGGTGGGTACACATAAGTTAAGCAACTACGGAGAGTAGGAGGGGTCCCATCTCACAGCCACACTTCACGTGGTCGCTGAGGACCGCTGGATGAGAATTATCGTAGACAAATCAAAAATCAAATTTAATGTCCAGAACACAGGAATAATTGCACTTCTGAAGGTATTAATATTGTATTATTGACATGCAGTTCAGATACATGACAGTAGTAGCAATTCTAGTCTATACTGTGGCCCGAATGCCTGGATATCAAAGCTTATTCATCACGAAACATCCACTTTCCTCCTCCGCGCACGACGTCTTCATATCTCTTTCGAACCAATTCCCTCTCAAAATCTGCAGCCTCCGCACGGTCAGACTGAACTTCCTGAGTAGTGGGAAAGTCTGCTCTCCAAAACCCTGGTGGACTCTGACGTCTCTCAAACGCATGCCGATGCTTGCCATGCTTATTCGCGAGATCTCGTGCTTTGGCCTGGATGAGTGTTTCCTGCCTTTCATCCGCAGTCATAGCTTGTAGCCTGTGGATATTGCCACCGAGAAAGTCTTCCAGGAGATGCTCGTCTTCAGTGTCCATGTCTGAAGACTGGTTCCTCGCTTGACCCGTCGTAAGTTCGGCCAACTTCCTGAATCCATTGCCACAACATTCTGGGTTTGTGCACCCGGGAAGGCATTTTCGTTGTTCTCGTCCCCTCACGACATCTCGAAAGGCATAGTCATACCCTTGATTATGATCTGGGTTGACCTTGAAATGCTCAAGGCCTAATCGCCAGAGCGGCCTTGCTCGAAAAGGTTCGTCGTCAGGACCTTCGTAAGCATACCGGGATGCTTCTATGCGCTTTGTCGCCCTTATTTTGTCGCGTTCTGCTGTAGAACGATGACTACGCCCAGCCGTGCGTGGCGTTCTCTTATTAGAATTACTGCCGGGAGTTTGGAATGCCGAACTATTCGGCGGAGTTGTGTTGAGTAGAGATGACAACCGCTGACAAGCATCAATCTTTGTCCCCTGAAGCTTGCGATTTTGTGCCGATGCGTTTATCCGTGATTCATTTTCGCCGTCTTCTGCAAAGGGGACTTCACCTGGAGCCTCGGCATGTCTAAGGCGTTTAGCAGGTGTATACTTGGCTGAGGTGCGAGGAAGGATCGGCTTATTAGAACTTTTGGGTTGCAAGGCAGCAATCCTCAGAGCATCCCGTCGTGGGTTTATATGCGGCGTGGTTGGTTCCCCTAGAATGGGCGACCTTATTATACCGTCATTGAATACGGGTGGATGCTTGTAGTGATAATAATCCGTATCGGTGTCATCATCTCCCAAAAAACCAAACCCGGGATCGTCAACCCGCCGCTTCTTCTTTGGCGTAATAGTTTTCTGGCCAATTTCATCGAGGTCCAAGCTCTCTTGTGGTTCCAAGGTACTGAGACCGAAGAGAGCGACCGGGCTGTTGAGCTCGATCTCTGTCTTGATCTTGACCTTTTGTGGCGAGGACTGGGCCTTCCGTTTCCGTACAGCCCTGGCCGATACAACAACTGGAGGATCTGACGAAGGCTCGACTTGGTATTTGGTAAATGGTGTTACTGCGGGGTGATTGTCAAGGCCAGTGGGTAGATCAAGTCCCACGTCATCCGCCTCACCTTGTGTCGAACTTGTGTGGTGTTCCTGTGAGGAGGCGGGAGAGTTATTTGCGGTCGCATCGCGCTCTAGCGACACTTCCTCCATGGGGGCAAGTTGTGGCAGTTGTTGCCGTTCATCTGCAGCAACTGCAGCGGTGTGGAACAGATCGAGTTGTGCGGGTCGTCCAGAACTACTTCGAGGGTCCGTATGAGAGGATGTTGGTTTCTCGCGTTCCGGTACTGCCCTGACAACACTTTGTGGCTCCCCATGAGCGTGAGGCAGCGTCACTGGCTTCGGGGTTTTTGCACTTGGTGTTCCCACCATGGTGTCCCCATCAAGATCATTATCATCCGTGGTTCCTGGCAGGCACAGAGAGCGATTCAGCCTTGGGGGCGCAAGGTCTGGTGTAACCCGCGATTGGTCGGTCGCTCGAGGCTCTTTTTTAATAATCTCTGGTTCGGAGGCCGTAGGACACTCCAATCCGCTGCCCTTGTTTTGAAAAGGAACCCCATTGAGCAAGCCGTGCTCTGCCAACGTTGCTTCCCTTCTCTGGAGCCGTTTTGAGAGGCTATGTGCGTATTGCACCCACTGGGCCCTGTTTCCCCGGACCCGTCTCAACCTGGAGATAAGTTCTTTCCGAACGGACAAGGCGTCGTTGAGTCGGCTTTGGATATCGCTGGTGTCTGGCTTTGCAGCCCCATTAATCTTATCGTATAGCTGGGCCTTTTCGCGCAGGGTTTCGAGACGGACAGCCAACTCCTTCAGTCTTGGGTCTGCGATGGCGTTTGTGGAAGTGGTATCGCTGTCGTTATTATGCAGAGTATCGAGTATTTGGGCCTTCCACGTCAATTCCTGGAGCTGCGTGACGAGTACTTTCGGATCATGAAATGCTAGGTGAATGCGGGCAGCATGGCTGTCCTTTGTGATAATATCGGCCATGTCAGCCTTTTGCTGGAGCTCTCGGAGCTTTTGAATAAATGTCGCGCCATTTGGCTTCTTTATGGACTGTGCAAGGCCTTCGGGAGGGTTACTGTCAGCTGTGATCCCATGATTGGTATTGGGGGCAAGGTGAGGCCAACCTCTCGCATCGTCGTCTCCCACACGGTCGCAAATCTCTCCCAGAGCTCCAAACAACGCCAGGCGCCCCTCGCTCCACCGATCCATGGCCCGCAAGAGTCTATGAGTTGTCCGGGCATGCAGATGTCAACGTGGGGAATGGTTCGGGGTGGATTATCTGGCGTGGAGACCTGCCATTATTCGCGTGATGAGGCTGGGAATAACGTGATGGTCCGTGCTTGCCATGACTTGGTACTAGCACTTGCACTTGCCACCAGTTTGTCAAATCGGAGGTACGTACCAGTATATTTCTACCATTACATTACGGCTTTCACCAGAGTATTACCTTACCACACATTTATTCCTCGAGCATTGCGTATATACTATTTTCTACATATTATGCTCTTGTCTTCCTTAATTCTTCCGCCTAGTGATTTGTTTACATGTCGTTCCTTCCTTCTCTTTATAATGTACGTTGTATCTTTGTACTCAACTACAATAAACTTTATCCCGGATAGTTGTTTTTCCAATACTATTTAAGCTCACCGCCCTGGATACCCACATGAACTCTCTCTTCCGCCAATCATAATCCCCCATTCGCCGCTTCTCCCTGCTAGCGCCTTCCACAAATCGATCCTGGGAGCATTTCAAGAAGTTTGGCGAGGTTTTGCAAAAGAAAACCCAAGTTTCTCGTTGCTCAGCCGTTCTTAGAAAATACAAGAACCTTCAAATTTTTCCTTCGGTCAAAATACAGGCTTCATAACGCCCCAGACGATTTTATTTTCGTCTCTACAACCTCTACAACTTCCAAACCGTATGTCAATTTATTCCTCGCCCTCTTCAAGAGCTGCAAATAAGATCCTGGTTACGACGATCTCCACGTTGCCCCCGCTTTTGGGCTTCTGAACTCTGCAAAACCTCAACAATTACACCACCGGAAACCCAAGCTGACTTGACATTTCGTTTCTAGAAACTCAACCCACAAAATCATTCAAGATGAACTACGGAGAAGCCCCCCAGCAGCAGCGTGGATGCTACAACTGTACGTGAAATCGTCGCCTTTCTATCCTACCCCTCACATACCACTCGATTTTCGCCACCCGCATAAATTTCCAAGAATACGCTTCAATCAGCTGGAGTTACGCGCCGACATGATCTATAAGTCATTTGAACCTCGCAGCGCATTGTGCCCAGGATTAATTTGGCGCCAATGTTCCCGCGAGAATGCTAGATCGATGCCCAACTCTTGATTGTTATGCCAATGTACTGGCAAAAAAACTCTTTATACGCATCCTCATACTACAACGTACCCACCAACCGAACACTACTGACTGATATCCATAGGCGGTGACCAGTCTCACCAGGCTCGTGACTGCCCAACCCGTGGTCCAGCCAAGTGGTATGTTCGAATTCCGTGAACTGCCGAGAATGAGTGACTGACGATGAGATAGCTACAACTGTGGTGGTTTGTAAACCCAACTACCTAACATCTTGACCTCCACTTAACCAAATTCTAGGTGAGGGACACATGAGCCGTGAGTGCCCAGAGGGACCAAAGGACAAGACCTGCTACAAGTGTAAGTTTTAGCTGATAAACACCCAATACATCACACATCAGCTGATACCATTTGCAGGCGGCCAACCCGGCCACATCAGTCGTGACTGCGCCAACCCCGCCGCCGAGGGTATGGGTGCCGGCCGTAGTTTCGGAGGTGGAGCTGGCCAGGAGTGCTACAAGTGCTCCAAGGTCGGACACATTGCCCGCAACTGCCCCGAGGCTGGTGCCGGTGGTTACCAGAACGCTGGCTACGGTGGCGGTGGCGGTGGCTACGGTGGCGGTGGCGCTGGCTACGGTGGCGGTGGCGCTGGCTACGGTGGCGGTGCTGGCGGTTACGGTGGACGCCAGCAGACCTGCTACTCGTGCGGTGGCGTCGGCCACATGTCGCGCGACTGCACCCAGGGCCAGAAGTGCTACAACTGTGGCCAGACCGGCCACTTGAGTAGAGACTGCCCATCCGAGACCTCCGCTGAGCGCACTTGCTACAAGTGCAGACAGCCCGGACACGTCCAGGCCCAGTGCCCAGAGAACCAGAACTAAGCTGACCTCGTATGTCGGCACGGCGGATGTACATCAAGGCCGATCTTACATTTCGAGAAGACTTAACTTCCCCGGGCATTTGGAAAGGGTGGCAGTGAATTGAGGATTGACTTCTTTGTATACTTGTTCTTCAGCGCGTGCAAAAAAATCCGCCGGCGTTCAATCTGCATCTGACTGCAGTCATGGACGGCCACGTTTTCTTTTGTTGTCAAGCCCCAGATGGCTATCTGGTTTGGCAAAGTAAAAGCATATATCTTGTTGCTTTTTCGATACAATGCCTGGTCTTTTTTTTATGAGGAACTCATGACTTTTATGCTCGCTGGCTTAAAGCTACAATGCCAGATGTCGTCAAAGATAATAGAATGCATGCGTTGAGCAGATCTTTGAATGTGATTTTGAAGTGAGAGTACCAGATAGATGGTGTCCTGTTCTGTTGTCGATCGTGTTTAACCCTATGAGTAAAGGATTTATATATCCTACATCTACCCTCTAAAGATTTATCTACCCCACCGCCTTCCATAACTCCTGCAATTCCCGTGACCTCGCTGCCGTGACCTTGCTGCCGTGATGTCGCTAGGGGCAGCTTTCCTCCGCACAAATCCAGGAAGCTCGGACAGCGTCTCACGAACTTCTCCTTTACGGCCCAGTCGTCAAGGGCATGGGCGACGTCGTCCATTTCGTAGAAATCGTTGCCATGGCCAGGCACCGAGAGAAGAGGCAGCGAAGCCATGGCCACAATGAGGGCGGAAGCTGGCGAATCAGCGGTATCTTCGTCACCGTCGTCAAGATTGCCGTTGTGATGTGGTGATGATGGTGGTGGTATGGAAATTATAACATTGGCAGAAAAGCTGAAAGGGGTTAGTGGTGGGCAGAGATAAACTTTACAGGGGTGATACAGAGTAACTAGCTTATAACGTATTTCACAGGCGAAGCGATCACCCGGGCGAAGCCATCACTGAACTTCCCAGCTAAAATTGAGAAATTTACAAGATAATAACTTAACAACAACTTCATAATATATTCTAAAAATGTGTGTGTATCCTTAATTACACGTAGATTCCTTTATTTTAAGCTTTAAAGCAATTAGACTAGTAGATATTAAAATATAAAGACCTAGTCTAAATTTCAGTGCCTAAACTTAATATCTTCAGAACTACTGAATAGATTATTCCTAGATGATTAGGTACAAATTCAACTAAATAGGAAAAACTAGAAATACATTTTTAATATATATTATGAAGTTGTTGTTGAGTTATTATCTTGTAAATTTCTCAATTTTAGGTGGGAAGTTCAGTGATCGCTTCGCCCCGGTGATCGCTTCGCCTGTGAAATACGTTAAATCTTTTACTCTTTATAGATTCTGTGGGTTACCTCGTGGTGAAAATAGCAGGGAAGGGGGGTCGGCCGCGAAAATAACTGACAGGTTTGCCATCTAGGCCAATAATTTTGAGACATCTTATCGCGCTTTTCCAATCTTCCTCCCCTTTGCAGCTTCAAATCTCTTTTAAATCACGGATTAATTCCTCTCGAACTGACATTTCAACAGAGGTGCGAAACCTGGGGAAAAATAACATTGTCGGCGTTGGTCACTTCTGTCATAATTGCTATATCAGTGTTGTAGCCCAACCAAGCAAGTGGCGACCACCCCTTTTTATGAGTGACCAGCCACAAAATCGCCGTGGCGCATCAATATTACACTGCATCAACTTGGCGTCGGAGGCAATTGTCTCACCCTCCTTAGCTAACCCCCAAATGAACATTGTGGGTTACGCAAGGAGGTGGAGGGGTTCGCTCGTTATAAGGGGAGTCCCAGGCACCCAGAAGTTTGATATCCAAAGTCGGGCATTTTGACTTCACTGTGCATGTGCGTTTTTCATATTGGCACCTTTTCTGATTCCGTTGCGGTTATAATCACTCGTTTCATACCGGACGATGCGGTCCAATGTTCTCAGCACGCTCGGCGTGTTCACCACATTTTGTCAACCTGTTTCCTCCTGTGTATATGGCACCTCTCTTCTGCCCCGCGCTGATGGCAGCTTGGAAGGCTCCCAGTTTGGATACACAGACCCAATTGAGCAATTGCAATGGTCGCAATTGATCCCAGATGCGGATGTCTCTGAGTTTCTGGACGTGGGAGCGACGATGGACATGCTGGCCCTTGGGACGGCGACGAAGAGCAATGTCTTGTGGCAATTCGACGACATCTTCACCGAGAATAGAGTTGTCGGGCAATACTTCTCCAAGTGGAACCACTTTGAGTTCGACACCGCAGGTATGCTCACTCTTCCATATTTGCTCTAGGATATCAGTGACTCGGCATTTTCTGACCTGTCAGTTTCATCTATCGCCTTTCTCACTTCCCTCAGCAAAAGGTACAGCACACAGGTTTTCGACACCGCCCTATCTCCCGTATCGCATATCGCGGAACTTGGTCAGATAGCTACCGCCACAGCTGAACATAGTTCGTTCTCATCTCCCATTTCTCATCCGGATAGCAACCCTATCATGAGGTATGTTGTTGCTACTCCCACCCCAAAATCCAGGTTCCTACGCTGACCCGGGTCAGTTTCTCTGGTTCCCTCACAACGCCTTCCTGCAGCGAAGGCGTCGTTGACGGGGTTACCAGTGTCGCGCCCATTACGGCCGGAAATTCAGCCAACAGGCAGATTTCAAGGAAAGTGATGCGGTTCAACACACTCCATATACAGGGCAAGTTTGGGAAACCTAGCCTCCTACTCCAGGTGTCCAAGACCTAGACGGGAGCTCAAATAGGCCGCGCTATTGGTTCTATTGAGATGGTAGCGTCTGTTGGGCCGTTCCGCTTCTTATCCGTGGAAGAAGCGATGTGAGAATAGTGATGAAACTATGCGGGCAAGTGGCACTTCAATGTATGATATATTTGGTCTCATCGGCAGATGTATTAATCCTAGGAGATTACATTACTCCCAGGAGTTTGGGAAGCATGTGATGCTGCTCATTGAGCGATTATTTTTGGTGCGGCATGAGGATCACTGTGGCGCCAGAGCATCAGAGCGTCATCCCCGACTTTCTATGGCCGTTGGTACTTTCTCGGTATGCTACACGCTGATCGTCATGAAAGACTTGCCTCACGCGGATTTAGCTGAGGGTGACAGTGGATTGGCTTTTGGGAAGTACAGACACGTGATTGACCCTGTCCACTCCGTATTTTGGACCATTTTGCCAAATATCCCCAGACTCGTCTTCCCCGTAACCTCTACCCCGAACCCCGCATACTTTCGTACACACATCAAGGTCCGATGTGGTTGGGAGCGGCATCCTCGACGGCACGGCCGTGCTTTTGATAGCCTATGGCACAGCTACTATGCTGGTACTCTGCAGACAAGCATTCCCTCCCACCACTTGGCCAAATGCAGTAGCTTCTCACCGATGATCTTTGATGAATACGTGCAGACCTAGTCAGTGTTGCACCGTGAACGCATGCTCCATCGGCCTTTGCCCATGTGTGAGACGTGCAAGAGAGAGCTCTCACAGCTCCTTCCATCCTGGTCGAGTGAACGTCACCTGGTACTGTATAAGAACGTAATGTTGCCTTGAATTCGCTGATGCCCTCCCCCGTTTAGACTCTCTCCAAATACCGCTCAACGCTGTTGAATTTATTTTCATGTCTGAAAGGCTTTTGATATTCTCGCGAGACGTCGACAGGTTGTCGGCTCCCCCCGTCGTTGCAATGGATATTTCAAACGCAGAGACTACCAGGGCCGACTCCAAGGCCGACTCCAAGGCCGACTCCAAGGCCGACCTAAAGACCGAATCCAAATCCGACAAAGAGTATGAGACGGGTGCCCTGGAGCATTTGGACTCGGACAAGCAGGCCCCTCCCTATGTCCAAAACGCTCCTACCGAGGGTGTCCGACGGACATCACTCCTCTATCGCTGGTGGCCGCCATGACACCAGAGCGGCGGGCGGCGGCAGAGAAGACGTTCGTAAGGAAGATCGATTTGAGACTCATGCCCATGATTGTCCTCATGTACATCATGAACTACCTGGACCGCAACAATATTGCAGCGGCTCGATTGGGAGCTCTTGAAGAGGATTTGAATCTACAGGGCAACGAGTATGCGGTAAGCTTCCCCAACTGGACCTGGCGCCAATGCGCACATCTATGGGCTGCCACTGATGAGTGTCTAGACATGTATCAGTATTCTCTTCGTAGGCTATGCTCTGATGCAAATCCCATCCAATTTATATCTCAACAAAATCGGAGAGCCTGCCATCTTCCTGCCGTAGTATATGGTTGTTTGGGGCATCATATCTACCGCCACCCATAATAAACCTCCGGTAGAAGTTGGCGAAGCCTAAGAAGGCTTGTACTTCTCTGACCGTGGTTGGTGTTGGCCATTCCAACACTGCCGTGACCTTTACTTGGTCCATTTTGGTGCCATGCATTCCGACAATGTAGCCTAAGAATTCTACTTGATCCTTGTGGAATTCGCATTTCTCCGGCTTGAGGAGTAACCGATGCTCCTTTAACTTCTGTAATACCTTCCGAACATGACCAATATGTTCCGTTGGGTCTCCTGAGAAGACTAAGATATCGTCTAGGTAGACGATAACAAACACATCCAAGTATTCATGAAGAGCTGCATTCATGAGCCTCTGCATGGATGCTGGTGCATTTGTTAGACCAAAGGGCATAACCAAGTATTTGAACAAGCCATAGCGGGGCGGAATGCTGTTTTCCACTCATCCCCTTCCTTGATTCGAATCAGGTCATAGGCGCCTCTGAGGTCCAGCTTGGTAAATATCTTGGCTCCCTGGAACTGGTCATGTAGTTCGTTTATCAAAGGTAAAGCATATCTATCTTTGATAGTGACATTATTCATTCCTCGACAGTCCACACAGATTCTTAGCTTCTTGTCCTTCTTTGGCACAAATAGTATTGGACTTCCTGCTGGTGATGTCGATGGTTGAATGAACCTTTTCGCGAGGTTCTTGTCAATGTATTCCTTCAGTACGTCCAGCTCTGCTGCTGACATCTGATTAGGGTGCGTCATGGGGGACCTGGACCACCGGTTCCCCTGGACCAGACCGGACCATGGTCTGGTCTGATCCCAAATTCTCAGACTGCAGTCTGGTCTGGTCTGAAGCCTCCAAACCTACGGTCCCCCACCGGTTTCTTGGCAGACCGGTCACAGGGTTTAACATTCCTATAAATCACGTGTGGTGATATTTGCGCCTTAACATTTCAAGTGGATATTTTACAAGTAATTTAGACAGATAGGTTGGTAGTTAGCAATTACTATAATTGTTACTATATATCTACATTACGCCATGACTCCTGAGTTTCGCGACCTGACCGTGACGTGTTATGGAATTGGCTTGATTCAATTGATGGGACTATTTCTCTTTGAAGAATTTGAGCCCCATTATTATTCCGTGGCCTCTTTGCAATAGAAGATGGCCTTGTCAGTGAAGGTAATTGATAATCACCATCATTTTGACTTGGTGGTAGCCCTACTACCTCATCATCTAACTCTTGGTAGTTTGTATCAAATGTAGATGTAATAGCTTGACTCTGGCGTTGGCGTTGTGTTTGCTGGACCCTCTGTAAGCCATGGAGCTCTCATCGTGATTGGATAATGCAAAACGTTCCTCATTCCGCTGTGTCCGGTTATGAGTATTTGGCATATTAGAGCTTCAATCAGGAATATACTCTATTGCCATCTTGTCTTGAATAGCCTCAACCATAGCATTATACTCTAACCCTATTTCCTCTTCAGTCATATTAGTAGAATCAATAATATCAGTTACTGAATAGTGTTCAAATTGCCGCTCTCGTTCAATCTTCTGTCGGTAATAAACAAGCATAATTGACCGTATTGTTTCAGGGGCCATTCGGTTCCACTTGTAATTACACACTGTCTGGGCGGTGCTAAAGACTCGCTCAACAAGAGCTTCTGAAGCTGGAATACAAAGTATATCCTGGGCCATAGCTGCAAGGCCAGGAAATTGTCCTTCGTTATATTTCCACGATAGTAATGGTAGTTGATTGGAGGCTGCTAATAATAGTTAGTGGTAATTACTATAATTATTACTATAAACTTCCGGAGGGCAAGGTACTGCTCTATCTCTCCTCCCTGATCGGTATTTTGATTCCAAGAGTTATAACTTCGTTTCCAGTTTAATAATAAAGCCATTGGGTCTATATCAAGTTTGCTATTTTGGTCTTGATCGTTCTTGGTTGGGGTAACGTTTAGTATATAGCCCCCGGAATTGACCTTCAAAATGCCCCCACCAATTTTTAGTCGGGTTTAGCCAACAATAATCAGGGTTAAATACTTCCATCTTTAATCGTGGAGATAGAATAGCTCCAAAGGCATAGAAGCTACCAATAACTTTACAGGATTTACTGTAATATTTGTCAAGCTTTTGAACAGCTTTGTCAATAGCTTTAAGAAGCTTTGGAATCCATGGATCTTGTAGTGGTTTTAACCGACAGGTACACTCCTCAAGTGCTTCAAATAGCTCATCATAGCCTGGTAGAACAAACCCTAATCATACTCCACTTGCTCTACCTATATTTAAAGTCCAGAAGCTAAACTGGCGTGTAACATCAATAAGATAGGTAATATGTTTCCACTCTTGAGTACTAATACTAAATATATTAGCTGGGGTAAACTCTGTTGTAAACTTGTCAACAGCTTCTTGGAGTAAAACTGCTCGTAGCATCATATGAAGAGTTGAGTCCCATCGAGTTGACACATCTTGGATAAGGCGTAAGACTTTAACCCCATCTCCACACTGTCTTTGGGTTGCCATAAAATGCTCTCTTCGCTGTGAGCTTGAATTTACAAAAACAGCTAGCTTTTGAAGCTGAGTTTGTATTACTATAAAGATTACTATAAAGATTACTATAAACATACCTTTGCAAGTGTCCATGGAATACCCTTATCTACACTTAGGCTATCGAGCTCTATTGCTGAATTTTCATCCCAGTCAACCTGTAGTTCAGAATTCGTTGGATTTAGTCAAATTGACCCAAGGAGAGCTCTTTGTGCAAGCTGGATAATATGTGCAAAACATGGTATATGGTGAATAACTCTATCGTGATATTTTGTTCTTTGCAGAGTCGAGTAGTATTCGAAAGCGGCTGAAAAGCTTCTTCCCAATTATCACATCTTGTGCTCCGAGGTCCAGGAGTACAAAGGGGCAGTTATATATCCAGCGTCCTTCGACTGTTAAGTGTAACCGAATATACTCCGATACATGGCCTTGGATTTTGTGCTGAAATCCACGTATGGGTACAGAGTAGGGTAGTTTCCGTATGGGGCTCTGAAGTGCTTTCGACAGTCGTATTGCGAAAGGCTTGTTAATGACGAGGTAGCCATTTGCTCCTGTGTCTGCTAGGGACTTCGTTTGCACCCCGAGTCTGTTCATACTCAGGGTTGTGTCGACTAAGAACTGGGTACCTCCCAGGAGTTCTCGTAAGTCTAGTCCTCGCAGGTCAGATTTGCGTAGACCTAGGAAGGAGCCTTCTCCTAGGCCTCATCGTTTTCCTCGAGGGACGCATCCGATTGAAGTTCCACGGCTTCTTCCCATTGTTCTTCTGCCTCGGGGTCGTTACGGTCAATTTCCTTGATAGTAGCCTTAAGGGGGCATTTGTCCTGGAAATGGCTGGGCTTGCCACACTTGAAACAGTTTCCTGAGGGCGCAGGGACTGCGGTTCTCACACGTTCCGGTATGGCTGGCTTGGGGAGGAACACGGTTCGGGTGAACAGAGTGGATGTCACTCTAGTCGGCTTCGACGCCGATGCCTTTGTCATGTCCGAGGTACGTGTGGACGTCCTTGCGAGAGCGGGTAGCGGATTCAATTCGTTGTTCCGGCGCCGTTCCTGATCAAAGGCGGTAAGTTCTCGTACCATGGTTTGGTCTCCATTCCATTGGTTTTTGATGATCGCAACGCGGCTGTGGAATTGGGGAGTCAACTTGTTCCACATGTACCGAAACCATTCCGACTCCAAGACTTGTCCTGTGATAGCTGCACTTTGGAAACGAGCCTTGAACTCTGGGAAGGTTTCGCTAGCATGCCCTTTCTCTCCCATTTGCAGGTCGTCGAAGAGGTTCCTAGCCTGTTCCGTCTCATTGCCTGTGAGGTAGTATGAACCTAGTAGATCCATCATCTCCTCAGCACTGCGGAACCCATGCGTAGCGGACAGGTATTGGGGCTCTAGGTAGGTCTTCACCAGGCTGGTCGTAGTTCCCCATATCAATGCTCTTCTCGAGACGTCGGTAAGATAGTGGTCCTCATTGACTACGAGTCAGTCCCGAATCGAAGTGCTCCATTGTAAGAAGGTATGTTCTACCCCATCCGCTGAGAGGAAGGATTTTCTCAGAGATGGTAGATTTCTTATAGCGAGTCGGTGGGTCCTCGGTGTGCATTCATGACGTGCTTGGGATTGATGGAGAACGAAAGTCCTGAAGAGGCGGCAATTAAACTGTCCCAGGGGTGTTTCGTGTACGAGGCGTTCGTTGCTCCGTAACTTCGACTGTGGGTATGGGGCCGTCCACCGGCGGTGTGGACGGGATTCTGGTCTGGGCTGCCGACAGGATAACTAGTAGATCCTTAACCTCCTGTATCTGTGCTTCGAGGTGGGCCATTCAACTTGGGATGTCTTCGGATGGCACAGCAGTCGTAGCTGCAGCGGTGGTTTGTCTGGTAGTCATTCTGGGCAGTTGACCATCGTTGTCTTGGGGTATGTTTGATGTCAGCTTTTTCCACATATTGCCTCGGGTGTGTATCGGTACCAATACGAAATAGCTTGACTTCCGGTAGCTCGTAGCTATCAACGCTCTTGTCCACAAATTCCTCTGTGCTAGGAGGGGATTCTTAAGGATCTCGTATCCTATTTGGCGCCAACGCGTCAGCAACTTTACCAGCTTGTTCTGAAGAATCAAACCCTGATCCACTGGCTGTCCGTGAGATCTCTGGAATCACGGCTATTTGAAATCGTCAGGTCTCTCCTCCGAAATGTCACTGAGTCGCAGTCGATTGTGTAACAGTAGTTCTCCTGAGTCGTTCCGGTTGGGATATTATTTAAGTACGGCCATCCCCGGCAGGCGTGATCTTTTTTGTATAATGTAAGGACACAGGGCACCCAGCTCACAGTAATAGCATATGAGAGTGCGAG